GCCAGGGTGCGTCTGAAGGGTTTGAAGATCCAATTCCTGTATCTCGCCAGGGTGTATCTGTTGACGACCAACATTACAAGATTCGATTCCTGTATCCAGCCAGGGCACATCTACATAAAGGGTTTGAAGATCAACTCCTGTAACAGGCCAGGTAATTATTTTTCTTTCTCAGGTATGCAAGTTCTCTCTAAGGAATCTCTTATGCGATCGAAGACCTCCCGATGGCATCTATAAGCCCATCTCTCCACATACCAACAGTCTCCAAATGGCATCTATAAGCCCATCCCCGACAAAGTTCAGTCACACTTCCAGATGGCATCTATAAGCCCATATTCCTATCCATCAATCTCCAAATGGCATCTGTAAGCCCATTCCCACCATCATACTGCTGATACTCTTCTATGTGAGTGCAAATTTCTGGGCACTCTAGTGTTCAATCATCTTCCACCTTCGGATTACGAAAGGCACGCTAGCCAATCTACATCCTCAGGCCTAAGAAGATTGAACAGGGGCAACTGTTGCACCCCAAAATTTTCCCTCCCACATTCTTCAAGATTTGCCAAGGTCAAGGTTCAAAATCTCTCAAGGGTTGCACAGTCCAATTGCCTCCTAACACAGTCAAAATTAGGGTTTTGGTTCTGGCAAAAGAAGTTGAGGTTTTAAAGGGTCCAATCAAGTCCCACATGCCTATAAACATTGTCAAGCATCCATATGCCAAGTTTCAAGACTCACAGCATCAAATTGCACAGTCAAAAACCCTAAATGCTTCACAGTCAACTGCAGGGGCAAAATGGTCATTTGACAGTCAAAAGTCAAAATTTTTGGTCAACATCTTATTTTGAAGCCACAAACATCATTTGATCAATTCTTGATCATGATTCTCAAAGCATGGCTCAAAAAGTCTCAAGATGCAAAAGTTTCTATTTTTGGACAGCTGAAAAAGTCAACTGCAAATTGACCAGGGCATAACTTCCACATGGTTTATCAGAAAAATTCCATCCAAAGCTCATTTTGAAGAGAATGACATTTCCTACAACTCATCTTCACACTTCAAGTCCAAGAAATGCTCTCACAAAAAGTTATCAATCTCAACATTATAGGTCATTTTTAAAAGTCAACAAAAAGGCACTTCAAGTCAAATACCATAACTTGATATTGGTAAATCAAAATGACATGGGACCAAAGACATTGGTTATAGGACTCCAAGACCTTTCCAAAATGTCCAAAAACATGATCAAAGCTTAAAAATTGAGTAAGATATGCCTTGTGGAAGTTGGGAAAGTTTTGGGAATTTTGAAAAGACAACTTTGCATAAAAGGGTTCAAAAATGCTAATGGGCCTCAATTTCTTCCATGAATCATCACCCAAAGGCTATGCACGACCCATTGACCTCCAAGGGAGTTATTTTCTCATTTTTGATTAATTATTTGAATTTTTATTATTATTAATTCACTTAATTAAAATTAAATATGAAAAAATAGCAAATAATATACCTTTCAAATCTTTTTGTGCAGAGTTTTCATCCATTATGAATCAAATATTTCGTGCATCACTCAAAAGGGAAAGTTTCTACATGATTGGCAATGATTGGCATAAGAAAGGATTGAAAAAGATTGAAATTGATCTCATTGAAAATCCAATCTCCAAATCATCAATGCATGGATTATAGGCTGGTTTTTTTAACCTAATTCATTCATATACATATGCACAATTGAAACATAAAGCATTAGACACAAGAAGCTGCGCAGAAGAGGAAGAACAATATTGCACTTTTTTCACAAAAAATTGGAAACTGAAAACCTAGCTACTGCACATTTGAAAGCCTAAAAGCTATTCCAATACATTGCTGGACGACCTAGGAAGCGTTTGCAATCAAAGCCAAGTCTCCAGACCTCTAGAAGTGGTAGAACGACATCACCCTGTTCATAAAATTTTTCATATTCGTGTTTGAACTTTCATGCATTATTAATGTCTTTTAATGGTTGATTTACACTAATATGAACATTCTGAAGCTAATGGTATCCTTGAATTGAACTAACCATGCTTGTATGAGAATTCACCATTAACATACGTTAGGGTTTCAGAAGCTTTGAATTGGGGCTTTACATATATGGAAAAATTGACCATTCAAACTGGTACCATTGAAACCATGACCTCCAAACGAATGGAATCCACACCTCGCGCCCTTTTTATTTTTGACTATCGTCTAATCGCTATTATTGCAGGTCTGGTTTAGTGGGGGTTTAAAACCCCCGCTATTTGCTTTTATTTACAGGGAAAAGATGGAGACGAAGCTTATGTGTCCAAGCGTGAATGAAGGGTTCAAATCCTGGCGCGCGAATTTTTGTTGACACCACTAACCATTGTTTTCACATATTATATTTTCCAATCACTATGTTAACAAATACGCGCGTTGGTTCAGTTGGCTGTTGCGTTGGCATGCAGGTACTGGGACCTGGGTTCGATTCCCAAGTCCCTCACTTCTTCCATGATTTTTTCTTCAATATGTTTCTATGCAGCATGCCATCAAAAGACCACCATACAACCCCACCTCCTAGCTTGCCACGCGCCCAGGAAGTCTCATCCAAAGGTCAGAATGTGGAGGTCCACCATGCACACTGGTCAATCATTCCACACACGCACTAGAAAGTCAAAAGGGGCCTCATTCTGTTGGGCCAAACTGCTTCCAAATACACCTCTAAATTGGGTCAGACACCCCCATTGTTTATATTTCTTTTTCTAATTTCCTTTTCTTTTCTTCTTTTTATTTTAATTGTTTTTTTATTTAATTCACAAAAATAATTTTCATAATAAAACCAGAAAAATCAAAACTAAAAATATGTTTATTTAATATTTAATTCATTAATATTTTTGTAAATAAATTTTTAATAATCAATTTAGTAAAATTAGGTTTTAATTTTAATCTTTTCTTAATAACTAAAATATGTAGAAATTAGGTTCTTAACATTTTTATTCTTTTTCTTAATCAATAATTTCTTCTTCTCATTATTATTATTAATTATTAATTATTTTGTAAATACCCATGTAATTAATTAAATAGTGCAAATTAGGTTAAAACTTGAATATTTTTCTTTAACAATAAAAAAATAACTTAGAACTAGGGTTTTATTTAAACTTCTAATTTTAATTAATTTCCTTTATTTCATAAATACCAAAAACCATAAAAAATAACTTCTTTTCTTTATTAAATAATTAATTAATTTGTAATTTCATTTAATTTCTTTAAAGGGTCCAACGCCCTCGAACATTCGATTCTAATTTATTTTCGCGCGTTTGTTCTTATCTTTCGTTTTAAATATTATGTAATTGTTCAAGCCTTGTAATAGTAATTAGAAAATTTATTTTACTTTCCGCATTTTTATTCAAAACGGGTCTTTGTTAATTTGGCGATGTATAGACCCGCGCCTTGTAATAGCGTAGGCTTTTATTTTCCGTATCTTTAAATTTCTGCACTTTTAAACTGCTAAACTTTGCATGAAAGAATGTATGGCCAAAAATAAAAAACAACGCGTCGCTCACGATACAATGACAAGATCAAAACATAACTGAAAACAATACACAAATTCACACACCACTCTCAGGGTACGCCTCACTGTTGCCTTGCCCCTCGAAACGTGGTCGTCGAGTATAGGACATTTTAGTAAGTCCTTATGTCCATGTCCATGGCATAAGGGTAGCTTCTAAGGTGTCCTACTGTTGCTCTGGTGACCACACTGTCCCTAAACACGAATTGACCCGAACACCTCCAACGGTGGTGCTACCTACCTCTCAATGGTGGGATAGCACTATCTTAAGGACATTTACACAGCCTAATTCCTTAGGGTAGGTAGGTGACTCGTAGATACTTGCTCTATTTCAAAACAAATCAAAACTTCTTTTCACACCGACACTTTCAAAAAAGCTTTCAAAACTATTTTTCAAACACTCTTGAGGACTGATACAAGAGTCGATCTGAAATCTTTAAACGGAACTTTTTCAAACCCACTCACAATTGAAAAGCAAACCTTTTGAAAACACAATGAGCAAGTATCTAAGAGCCTGTGGATAACCATGGATAGAAAGTGTGCTAACACCTTCCCTTTCTATAAATCTACCTCCCGAACCGAGAAACTATCTCATAAGGAATTTTGCTGTGCTTTTGTCCTGTGCATGTTGGAGAAAATAAAAGATGGTGGCGACTCTTGCTTCCGCGACATTTCGCGAACCAGCGTTAAACAGTCAGTTCCAGATCCACCGGTCACAGATATCAATCCGTAGTGAAGCTTATCAAAACAAAGAAACCTGAAGATCTTCGTGAAAGCTTCACCAATCCAAGAAAAGAGTCGGAGATTAAAAGTTCGGAATAAGCGTCGAAGAATCATCTATGTGAAAATAAATCACAATCGAAATCCCAAGCGCATTCGTATATTGCCCAATAAACCTGCATAAGTTTCCAGATCTCAACAAGTAAAAGGTGAAGCATGAAGTATCGGAAACAAAATGATTATTTAAACATAAACCATAATAGAAAATTCTAATAAAATTATAAAAGAAGAAAAAATTAGGGGAATTGTAAATTTTTGTTTATTTTTATTATTAGTTTTGATTATCAAAAATTATAGAAAGGAAACTAATAAGAAAAAGAAACTAGAATTCTAGTCAGAAGGGGGTGCAGGCTGAAACACAGGGGTAAAGTAGTAATCTGGGCGTTGAGCCCAGTCCAGAAGTGATCCACACATGTTTTTTTTTGCATAATGATAAGATACCAAAAACAAATATCATGGGCTCAATCATGAAACAAGGCCCACGATTTAACATTGACTATCACCCAAGTCCCAGAGGCCCATTCAGCTTTTCTTTTCTTCAACAAAATGATAATAAAAAAAACATTAAAAAATAAAAGAAAGAATACGATTCCGTTTTGAAGAATTTGGATAGGGTTACAATTTATGTTTGCTCAACTTCCACGTTTCAACTCTCCTTCTTCTCAAGACGGTGCAATGATGACCTTCAAATTTCTCTACGGATCGCGGCTTCTTCGATCGCCAGCGGCCATGGATCTCACGTTCAGCAGCAACAACACAATGTATTCCTCCAACTTCAGCGCCAACCTAAACCTTCGCCTCCCTCTTTTCACACTTCATCATCTCATTTATGTAAATCCGCTTCAAACATCACAAATCAAATTGCCAGTTCAAACTCGGCGTCCCCTGTTCAAGCTTATCCGAGTGAAAGAGAGGAAAAATGGAATCAAACAAGATCTGAGTACCAACGCCAATGCTACATCACGATGTGGAACGGAAGAAAAGGCGAAGGAATCCTTTACCAACCGGAGCAGCTCTGACATCTTTTTGATGTCGGAGACTACTAAGAAACCAGAGAAGAATAACTTCAGGTATTCATGTCGCCTTCGATTCCTTCTCTTCTTCTTCTTCTTCTTCGCGAAACAAATTTTCTCTTGAAACTCAATCCACTTCGTTGTTTTGTATATGAAAGTTGGTTGTTGAAATGAAGTTTGCAGGTTGTAAGATTGAAGAGAGGAGCTACTTTAGTTTTTTGATGACGATGAAGATTCTTCCTGCGATGAAAATGAGGATTGTTGAAGCTAAATGGAGCTGCACTAAAGATTTGCAGTGGAGGATTGAAGAGTGCAGAGAGATATTTTTGTGATGCTTTTCTGAATTGGAGAGTGGGTATGGGGGGGACTTCTGAGCTCTTTGCAGTGATCCTTCTGATGAAGTGAAAAATGATGGTGAAGATGAAGTAGTGCATTCATAGAATTTTGAGGTGATTGAGCAAGGTGAAAATAGAAAGGTTCGTCCCTGATTTTCTTCCCTAAATTTTTTGTTATGAATGACTCCTATCTACCCCTCTCTCCATTTTGTTACATTCTGTTATCAATCTTTTTTTTTTGTAACTAACTATTATTTTCCTTTCCTCTTCTTGAAAATAATTGAGAAGTTTGTGAAAGGGTTGGTTAGAGGAGTTAGCTGTTAGTTAGCTTTTTCTGTTAGGACAGTTGGCTGTTAGCAGGGTAGTTATAGTTAGTTGTGAATGAAAGTTTATTGGTTCTGTTAGAGGTTAGAGACGGTTGGTAGTTAGGATATTAGTTTGGGAAATTGTTTATAGGTAGTTAGTTGGTTGTTTTGGAAGGTTGGGTAAATTCTGTTAACAATTAGTTTAGGAATTCTGTTTGAATTAGTTGGCAAGTAACTAATTCGGTTAGGCGGTTGGGGTTTGTTGTAGAAATCTTAGGAATTTTGGTTAGGAAATGAGCTAGCAGGTTAGTTTTGAAAACTTAGCTTGGATATTGTAGATTGATCTAATATTTATGTGAAGCTGGGCTATTTATTTGTTCTGGATTTTCTATTGATCTGGTTATGCCGTATTAGTGTTAGGTAACTGGACATGACTACAGTCTGCTCTCAGTTTGAGTATCCGCATGATGGTTAATTTATTTGACGCACAACAATTAGTTTTGTGTGCAGGTTCAGCCAGTTTGGTATTTGGCAGCTGGCTTGGTTTGAGCTGGAAGTAGTAATGGTTTGCTCTTGTAGGTATGTAGCATGCTATTTTTATACAACAATTTTTAGATCACGAAGTTGGCATGAATGTTGATATTTGTTGCAGCATGCATGATATGTAATAGTGCTTATTCTGAACTAGAGTTATCCAGATTACACGTTGATGCTTATTTTATCCTCTTTTGTGCAGATTGATAACATGGTAGCAACTGGTAGGAAAGTATGCATGAAGTATGGCTAGAGGGGGATTAGTGTCTAGTTGAATTTTGAAGGAGTTGGATATCTTGGAGGGATAATGAAAACGTAGAGTGAATTGGAGCAGAGTTTGATCATGAAGATAGCTTGAAAACGGAGTAAAAGAAATGGCCAGCGGATTTTAGCGTGAAGATCTTTGGTGCCTTTGTCATGGTGATTAGGATTAGAGCCTGAAAAGAATTGAAAGGAAGTTTGGCATAGGCTTAACTTTAGATTTATGTTTCTTTTTATGTAATGTAAGGCCTCGTAACCTTCTTATACATTTTGTAATGAACACGAATGACTTTCATTTTGATGGAATTAATCTTTAAACTTGAATGATTTCTTTAAACTTGAATGATTTTCATGATGAAGTTACGACTCTGGATGAACATGACATGTCCATTGAAACTCTTGATTGAATGTCGACTTGTAAGGTGCATTTGAAATTATGAATCTTGAATTAATACAAGGCACCACTTTTGAAAAGGACCTTGAAAGAACCTTGCGCAATTTGAATATGATCGAATGAGAGTTGTATTGAAATTGAACTTTGAATAATGTCTTTGTTTTTTTTTTAATAATCCAAATACATTTCCTTCTGACCTTGCATGAATCAATTCTTGACACCATGATCACATCAAAGTTTAAGAACCTTGATGCCATTCGACTAACTTGAGCGCATTGAAGTCTTGAACAAATACTTCCAAATAATGAGTTCAATTCAATTCTCACTTCTTAAGGAAACCACAATCTCAAACCTTATATCCATGTTAACTTGCATTACAAGCAACAACCGATTGAAAGAATAATGATGTTGTTTAGAATCCACAAATCGTATCTTGTAACACAAAGACTGCCTTGTAGACTCCTTTAAAGAAGAATATGGAACTTGATACATGGGAGGAATAACTACCAAGATAGTCTTAACATGTAATTCCAATGAACCCCAGTCGACGAGTTAACACGCTCAATTGCCATTCATAAGAACTACAATTTTCTTGAGATGCACTATGATGAAAATGGCTTTGTCTCTTACCTTGAGGAAGATATCCTTGTAGCTTGATAAGGAAAAGATCCACAATAATCATGAATCAAAACCCTAAATTCATAATTCAATGTACAAAGAAGAACCAGAAGAATCGGTCTTATTTGATAAACACCTTAAACCAAAAGAAAACCATAGATTCACTAACAATGATCCTCTGAACCACGATTCAACAAAACCTGAATTGGTTAATTAAAGAGTGGATAAATGCCATGTAATAGTCATTAAGCCTGATCAAATAATAAGCACCCTTATATGGGGAGACATCTTGATTCAGAGACCATGTATGTTAGGTCACACCCTTGAGTTCTTGACAAGAAAAACCTACAACTTGTTGTTCAGCAGAAGATAGTAGCCTTGTAGTTTGATGGAGAAGAAGTCCAAAAAATGAGCATGAACCGAAGATCTAATTCCACAGTCTTGTACACCAAGAAGAAACAAAATAATCAATCTTATTCAATCATATACACCTCAAATCAGTCATAACCCTAGCTTCGTAGCTGCTAATCCTTTGAACCTCATATGCCCTTTTGAATGCAATGCATGCTACGTTAGTGACCTAATAGAATATATACCATTGAATGAAAAAGTCTAAGCCAAATGAAAGAAATTAGGAGGGAAAATTTTGGGGTGTAACAGCTGCCCCTATTTAATCGCCTTCAACCTGAAGGTGAGATTGGCGCCAACCTTTCAAAATTTCCTGGTGGAAGAAGATTAAATACTTAAAAGAACCCGAAAATTTGCACTCCGAAGCCAGTCAGGAATTATTATATTTTTGGTTTTCTGTATTTTTTTTTTGCTTTTTTTTTTGCGAAGAAGGGGTTATCGGGGATAAATGTATGTCAAACCAGGTTTAGACACACAGAAGAAGAACTTGGTTATCAAGGAACATCAGTTCGGAGTTGGTAGCGAACACATGACAAGAAAGATATAAAAAGTACATATTTGGGGTTGGTAGCAAACACATACGGAAAGAGACTGGTCAAAACAAACTCTTACTAACAAGGGAATGATTAAAACATAACCTAATCGGAAATGTTAGATAAGCTAATAGAAGGTAAACCCGATCAAGACAGATAAACCAGGGAGAAGGAACTGATCAAAACATAACCTAAACAAGGGAAGGAAATGATCAAAACATAACCTAACCGAAAATGTTAGATAAGCTAACAGAAGGTAAACCCGATCAAAATGGACAAACCAGAGAGAAGGAATTGATCAAAACAGAACCTAAACAAGGGAAGGAAATGATCAAAACATAACCTAACCGAAAACGTTAGCTAAGCTAACAGAAGGTAAACCTGATGAAAATGGATAAACCAGAGAGAAGGAACTGATCAAAACAGAACATAAACAAGGGAAGGAAATGATCAAAACATAACCTAACCGAAAATGTTAGCTAAGCTAACATAAGGTAAACCCAGTCAAAACGGATAAACTAGAGAGAAGGAACTAATCGAAACAGAACCTAAACAAGGGAATGAAATGATCAAAACATAACCTAACTGAAAATGTTAGCTAAGCTAACAGAAGGTAAACTCGATCAAAACAGATAAAACAAAGAGAAGGAACTGATCAAAACCGAACCTTAACAAGGGAAGGAGATGATCAAAATATAACCTAACCGAAAACGTTAGCTAAGCTAACAGAAGGTAAACCCGATCAAAACGGATAAACCAAAGAGAAGGAACTGATCAAAACAGAACCTTAACAAGGGAAGGAGATGATCAAAATATAGCCTAACCAGTAGTTAGCTAAGCTAACAAAAGATAAACCCGATCAAAACGGATAAACCAAGGAGAAGGAACTGATCAAAACAGAACCTAAACAAGGCAAGGAAATGATCGAAATATAACCTAACCGAAAATAATAGCTAAGTTAACAAAAGGTAAACCCGATCAAAACGGATAAACCAGAAACAAGGAATCGACTAAGAAGGACCTTCAGAGAGAATCAATCAAAGGTGAACTTTACAAGAGAAAGAGACCAGTCAAAACAGACTTTAACTAGAATATCCAAAACACGTTAGGCTTTCGATAGGTTGCAAATACATAAGAACTACAAAATCCCTCAGGCCAAAGGCGGGGTGTAATTCTTCAAGAGTGGAAATTATCTGAATTACCACACACCAAGTATGGATACTCAAATACTTGAGAAGGGAGAAAGGCTATACACCGACTCTCACTCGCACTCTAACGAAAAAGAAAACATGGGTAAAATAACCAAAGGCTTGCAAAGGCAAGTGCTAACCATAAAATTACTGGGGATTCCCATATGTATTGAATCCAAACATAATGCCGGTTGAAGGCGGACTTGTGATTAGAAAAAAGAGACCAATTGTAGGGAATCTAAACAAGGATTACCAACACGCGTTGGGCTTTAAGAGTTTGCAAATACGCAAGAGCTACAAAATCCCTCAGCCAAAGGTGGGGTGTAATTCTTCAAGAGTGGTAATTATATGAATTACCACACACCAAGTATGGATACTCAAATACTTGAGAAGCAAGAAAGACTATACACCGACTCTTACTCGCACTCTAATGGCAAAGTCAACACGGGTAAAATAACCAAGGGCTTGCAAGGGCAAGAGAAAACCATGACTTATTGGGGAAATGGAGAAATACTAAAGACCCGACTGGTGGTGAATCAAAATAAACTCCGCTGGGGAAACAGAAATAGAATCACCCCAGGCTTGTTGTGGAGTTAATTCAAATCTGAGTGCATAACAATCTGATTACCACAGGTGAACACAATTGGCTTATACTTATACAACATTTGACTTTTTTATAGCGTAATGCTCCATATAATGGAAATGCTACACGTTTTGGTAGATGCAATGTAATGATGCATGTTTGACAATGCACTGGGGAAAGGCACGCCAATAATTGGCTGTTGAGAAGACAATGAACTTCCGAACAATTATCTTGCACATCTGATCTTCTGTAGAGAGAAGGAAATCTAAACTCCAATGGGGCACCGAGACTCGGAACCACCAACCTCTAAAGATCGATAACATTGAGGAAATAACTTCCTGGAGAGCAATACTACAAAAATAAATTGCAGTTTCGGAGAAAATCTTAAATTCTGATCAAACTCCCAACTTCTTGGGAGAAAAAATCTTTATCCTCTGTTAGAATGAGGATAGCTTTGCTTGGGATGGCAACTTTCTCGCGTAGAATCTCTTGACAAAGATAACTTCTATTGGGGAGTATAGAAATTCTTAAATAAAAAGAATTCTACTCAGACCACATTGGGGATAACATCACTGGGAGGTAAAAGATCTTCACTTTGGGAAGAAACACACATCTTGGAATAGGAACTCCACTGGGGACATCTCAACAAAAATATTTTATCCTCCAGGATGAAGGAGTTATGACTAGCATTCCCATATAAACCATACTGGGGAGATAAGACAATTACTCCACTAGGGAAAGAAAGTTAGCTCCACTAGGGAATAATGGATAAACTATTCCGGAAGGTTCTCGAAATTTTAGCTTCTACTGGGGACAAAGACTACCTCATACACTGGGGGGCCAAAATCCTTTAGATGATAATATCAACAATATCCGATTGCACTGGGTGTATCCATTTCTTTAAGATCCAAGCTGACAAGGATTTTTTGTACTGGGGAGCAGAAATCATTTCATTGGGTATGAGTCATCCTCACGAGGATACCAAACTAGAATCTCCAGTAGGTAAACATAAGTTTCTTCAAGAAACTGTGATATAGGCAGTCCGCATTAAAGAGAGGGGGAGTGCATTCCTTACTGGGGAGGAGAACGTATACTTCATGGGGATAATGAGTGTGAATATCACTAGGGAAGCCGCAGAATGTAGAGTTCAAGGGGAGTATACCAAGAATCTCTGGTTGGTGAATAAAACGATTCTTCTAAGAAAAAACTGGAAAACAACAGACTGCGCTAAGAAGGAGGAATACTCGGGTGAGAGTATGCCTTTAC